TTTCCCCCCCCCCCCCAATGTGGATTTTTCTGGTGCGAATTCAGATTTAGTCAGACCCCAATATGTGTACCAAACACTGGGTGAAAAACCAAAAAAAAAAAACTTGTACTTTCATTTGAAGTCCCTAATGCGAGTAACCTAGCTTGTCAAGACTTAGATTCTATTTGGTCTGCAAAATAAAAATGGACTTTATTTTATTATCAGCATCACAATCAAAGTGACATTTTTCGTTTGTTTATGCTATAAACTCCGTTAAGAACTTCATTGACAATCATTAAAAAGTTTCAAAGCTCTAAATTCAAAAATTGGATTTTGCAAAATAATTTTTTATTCGAATTGAGTGTTATTACAAATGATTGTGAATATACTTTAAAGTTTATATATCAATTTTGAGGGAGTTTAGTGAAGATTAGAGTTAGTTTTTGGTTGGGAAAAAAATAATGATATACAACTACTTGCATCTGTTTGTATGTCGGGTGTATGTTATTTGTATGTCATGTATACTGGACATACAAATAACATACAAAATACATAAAATAATATGAGTCGTATACAAGTTATATGTGGGCATCTTTTTCCATATTATATACAAATTGTAAAAAATAACATAATTAATTTTTGAAAACTACAGTACCTAGAGAAAACGAGTAAATAAGTCCTTATTGTAGCATATATATGAAAAAATCCCTTATTAATAGCACTTTTTAAATATATTTAAATGTTATTTAACAAAATTCAAAATCGATTTACAAAAGAAAGAAAGAAAATAAAAGAAATAGATATGTTGATTCTCATATGCAAACGTCAAAAAGACGATCTTTTGGCACGAAAGGTGTAACTCTATTGGTCTCTCCTCAACCGCTCAAATACAATATATATTTGCACTGCAATCCACTCCTCTTTGTAGCTCATTATCTATTAATTTTATCTCTTTCAATAGTGTCCATTATAAACGACTGATTAAGAAATTATTTCAAAATATGCGTTATAGAACAAATAAGGTACATTAAGGTCGGGAACAACTCGTCTCCATTATATTTAGCTCTGGTGGTCTTCAATATAGTCTTTGATGACTGAAACATCCACTTATAAATTTAAAAAATTGGAACTTTTTTCCAGCTTATTCTTTATTTGATGCGCAATTTCTCTTAGTTAAAACATCAAAAAGATAAAATTCTAAACCCATCAAATGTTCTTTGTTCTTTTATTTTTTCTTGTTTCTAATTCCCTCCGTGCCTAAAGGAACAATTCTCACGTATTCTCCTCACCATCAAGAATACGAAACTTGCACACCACCGCCTTTTCCCGCCTCCATCTCAACTATGTCACACAATATTTTCCTACAACCCTCCCAACCATGTCATCCCTAATTATCTTTATATAAAGGGGGTTGTGGTAGGGGTAATACATACACATTTTTTGAATTTATTGAATATCTTTGTATTTCGTGATCTAAAAAGGTTTAAAATGCTGTTAACAAATCTCAAAAAAACTTCGAGGTTCTGATTGGAAAAAAGAGAGGATCTGGAGATGAAAATTGCTTCTCAATCAACATTTTTCATTTCAATCAAGAATGCAAAAGAATTGAGAATGAGCAGGGAAATGATCTACGTTATGTCGAAGGGAAAAACTGTAACAGAAGTTGCTGATTTCCTATAAAGGAAGTGCTTGCCTATATGGAAGAGGTGCACAAGGATGTCTCAATAAAATTCGTGGTTTAAAGCCAAATTTTAATAAGGAGCCATTTTTTTGTCTATAGTATAGTTATCCTACAAAATATAGCATTAATATTTAGGGAAAAGGTCCAAATATACCCCTCTACTTTGGTATATTGTTTACATGTATCCTCCAATATACTATAGGGCCACATCCACCCTCACTGTTACCCAACTTTATAAAAATACAGGGCATTTGCATCTATACCCGCTCTTTGTGTCTCGTTTTAACTTGTGCCCGCTTTGCAAAAAAATTTACAAGTGTACCCACTTTTTCGCATAACTTCAGCATACGAGGCTGAAGTAGCAAAGACAATCACGCAAAACTTCAACATTTTAGTAGCCGGACCTGAAGTTCAGCTCTAGAGCTGAAGTTTTTATTTTCTAACTGGAGAACTTCAGCTCTAGAGCTGAAATTTTTGTTTTGTAACCGGGAAACTTCAGCTCTAGAGCTGAAGTTTTTGTCTTTGTAATTGGGAAACTTCAGTTATAGAGTGTTCAATATAGCAACATGCATAGCATTTTGTCCATTGCTGTTAAGCATTTCTGAGCAATCTGGGCAGTGCTTTAATAGCTCATTTACCATGATTTCATTGCCCTCATTGATTGCAGTGTGAATTGCTGTCGTCCAGTCATATTCACTACCTGCTGGAAGGTAAGCTAAGGATTTCTTCAACTACGACATATCAGAAACTACTTCTTTCAATCCTATATTGAACTATTACACCTTTTAGCAAAAAAAGCAAAAAAAGCAAAAAAAAAACATATTGCACCAGTGGGTGCAATATTCACTACCTTTTAAAAAAATATTTTAAAGAAGAAAAAGAAGAAGAAGAAAATGAAGGAGAAGAATGAGGAGAAGGAGGAGGAGTAAGGGAGCTAAAGTTATTTAAAAAGTAAGCACAAGTCAAAAGCTTTTGAAAAAATAGGTATAGGTTAAATGGGAGCGACCAAATACGGCGCCCCATGCAATTTCTACTAAAAATAACCCCATTAAACGGAAAGCCAACAGACATTAGCATGACCCGTTTTTAAAATAAAAAAGTTTTGACCCATCGACTCATAACCCGTTTAAACAAAAAACCCATCATATAAATAAAAAGGCCCATAATTTTATACGGGAACACTCAAAACACACCCTTTTCATCAAAGAAAAACCAAGAAGTGCCATGTCCTAGGGTTTGGCTGCCAAAATTTCTCTGCGAATGCTGCAAAGGTGCAATTTTCTTCCCTATTTTGGCTGATTGTGCTTATTTAATTTGGTTTCTTGTAAGATTGCATTCTATTTCAGTTAACTGGTTTAAAGTTTTTTGAGTTGTGTTTTCATTTTGTTTCGAGTATGTACTAAAATTTACAAATGCGTGTTGATATATATGTTTTGAGTTTTATATTATGTTTTTTCAGTATATTTTGTTTGCATGTATCGATTTCTCTTTATGTCGTTTGCATCCGTTGTTTGATATTAGGATTTTGTTTCTTCTCACTGTTCGTTTGATATTCTTCAAACATTATGTATGTGAGGAATGTGAAATCGTTATAATAATGTCTTAATTTCAGCAGGATTCTTAGTCCCATGTTAATAAAATGGATCGGTGGTTTAGGGTTTATAAGTGGAATTGTACTTTCTATGGTTTAGGGTTCAAAAGAGGACAAATGGTTTAAGGATTCAATGGACTGTGGTCCCGACTTCATTTCTTGTTTCTTTATTGGTTAAAAAAAATTCAAAATATGATTGTTATGGATTTCTTTGGTTAATTTATTAAAATTTTGGAATGTAATCTCCAATTTTATATACATATGGCCCAACAGTTATGGAAAAGTGCGACTTGACTGTTTTTAAATGTAATAGTTTTCATACTTTATTGAATATGGTCCCAACTCCTACTTGTTTCTTTATCCATAAAAGAAGTAGGACCCCACTGTTTTGTTTCTTTTTTAAAGTCATGTATTTAATATGAATTGTAGGACTTGATTGTGTTTATATTCTGTTTTTATTATGATTCTTTGCTGATTTTGTATTCATATTTTTCTATTTTTGTATTGTTCTTTTAGTTTAGTTGTGCTGCTTTTCTGCTTTTGCTCCTATTCTGTCTTTTTTTTGGTTCTTCTTTTTTTGTTTAAATGTTATTAAATTGTACTTTTGTTTGTTGATTACAGGTTATTAAACATGGTTAAGATTGACTTGATTTTTTTACTATGGTGATAACTGGATGAGGGAGCCACAACTTATATATTCTAGAAAGCTTATTCACACTTGGAAAGGTTATGATGTTGATCTCTTATCTTTTATAGATATGGTTAATGAATACATGAACAAGTTAGGGTATGTTGGAGTTCAATAATTGATAGTGATTGGCCATTCTGTGAAATATTATGAAATATTAGGAGATGAGGGTATTAGGACATTATTACAACTTGTGAATGACTAGTTTAATATTATTGACTTGTTTGCTGTAGAGGATAATGAATTATCTGTTGATGATCAAAATATAGTGCATCACACCGAGTCATACTTGGTAGTAGATGAAGCAGCTAGTGATTGCAGTTCAAATAGTAGTAATTCTAATAGTGAAGATGACACAAATGATAGTGACTGTAATAGTAAAGATGCTTCAGGTTATGATTCTGATAGGTTGGAGGCAATAGCAAAAGAAAGAAAGAGGGTAGTTGCTGATAGGTTGGTTGAGTACAAGGACATAGACAAGTCCATGATATTCAAAGATATACCTGAAGCTAGGAAATTCATGAACTTGTATGCCCTTGCCAATGATTATGATTTAACACTAGTTAAAAGTGACACAATAAGGGTCAGATATGTATGTGAGGATGATGAACGCCCTTATGTCTGCCTAATTTCTAAAGATAAGAGGAATATAGGTGTTAAGGTCAAGACACTAAAAGCTAAACATGAGTATAATCATGCATTTGATAACCATAGGGTTGATGCTACTATTATTGCACACTATTTCAAGAAGAAGTTGCAGGAATCCCCAAAATATAAGATTAAAGAGATGAAAACAGATCTAAAAATAACTTTTAACATCAATGCTTCATTTCAAAGTGCAAGAGAGCCAAAAGAATGATATTGGAGAATCTGGAAGTAGCTTTACTGATGAATATAACAAACTTGATGCCTATGCCAATGCCTTGAGGCAGAGTAATATAGGAAGTGATATCATTATTAATATTTCAAAAGATGCCCTTACTGAAGGCAAAAGAAGATTTTTGAGGATGTATATTTGCTCTGAAGCAATGAAGAAGGGTTTAAGGGAGGGTTGAGACTTTTCATTGGCTTGGATGAGACCTTTTTAAAAGGAAAAGCCAAAGGTCAACTCTTAGTTGCTGTAGCTCAAGATGCTATGAACCACTTTTATCCACTTGTTTGGGTTGTTGTAGATAAGGAAACAAAAGTCACCTGGAATAGGTTCTTGAGTTTGCTTCAGAAGTCTTTAGACCTCAACAATAGAGAGGGAGTCACATTTATATCAGACAAGCAAAAGGTAAAAAAAAAAGGTACTTGTTTTCTGGCACTTTTTAAATGTATTGACTGACTTCTTTTTTTATGTTTGGCTTTCTCATGTAGGGTCTACTTGATGCAGTCCAATCTATCTTACCTGAGGCCCGCCATAGATATTGTGTGAGACACATAGTATGCAATTGGAGCAAAAAGGACATGGGTCTGGAGAAATGACAAAGCTGGTTTGGTGGTGTGCATGGAGCAGTTATGAGGAGGAATTAAATGATCCTTTGAAGACATTGGGAGAGATGTCTGAGGAAAGGGTGGAAGATTTACTGCACTATCCAGTCAAGTGTTGGTGCAGGGCTCACTTTGATACAGTGTGCAAGAACCAGAAGGTAGAATACTTGCGGATTGCTCGCAAGTGTACATTTGATTTCAATGGTGAGCATGGGTATGAGGTGAGTGAAGGGAGTGACAAGTTCATAGTCAGCTTGGAAACACAAAAATGCACTTGCAGGACATGGGACCTTACTGGAACCCCATGTCCCCATGCCATCAGAGCAATATTATACAAGAAGGGCAACTCATTGGATGGAATTCACTGGTGGTACAATAAGGAAGCTTATCTCCTAACTTATAGACACAAGTTACAACAAGTTCCAGGGCAAAAGTTCTGGAAAAATGACCCATCACAGGCAATGGATCCACCTTTATTAGTGAAGTTGGCTGACAGACCTAAAATAAAGTGAATTAGAGATAAAAAAGTAAAGAGGCAAGGAGAATGGTTTGCTCCTAGGAAAGGCAGGGTTATGTCATGTTCAACCTGTGGAGAGCCTGGTCACAATGCTAGGGGTTGTAATAAGGTAATCTTTCTATATTTATTAGTAGCCATTTTATTTATTAATTGTTATATAACTCTAATTATTTATCTTCTTATCAGTTGTCAAATAATGTAGAATATGGACAGTCATCTATGGGTGAACATCATAAGAAGAAAAAGCAATCAAACAAGGGAAGAAAACCAATGAAGAGGCAAAGAACATTACTTGATGAAGATGAAGGAGATGAAGTTCCCAGATCCCCAACTGCAGCAACAATCGAAGAACTACCATTGTCAGCACCACAGTCCAGACAAATTAGTCAAGCAAGTGAAGCTAGACAATTTATATTTATGCCAACACCAAAGGTGCATATGCAACAATAATGAAGTTCCTGATTTTGAGATTCCAAGCTTCGAATTTGAAGAAGACCCAGCTATAAGGCCAAGAAGTGTTTCAGAGGTAAAGTCTAGACTCCAATAGAGGCAGAAACAACCAATATCAAGTGGAACAAGAATAATTAAATTTGTTGGTGATGGTGCTATAACTAGCAAGCAGTTGGAGAAACAAAAAACGGACAAGCTAAAGGCAAGAAAGGGCAATGGAAAAGCACAACAATGAAGGTTGTTTGTTTTTGATGATACCTGGAAGCTATAATGAATGATGGTGGCAGTAGGATTAGTAAAAACTTTAGTTTTTGTTCTTAGATATTCATGGTGGCATTAGGATGTCTTGTTATCACTTTTGGTGGTATGTTTTGTGATTATAATATGGCATCCCTTTGTCTAATGTAATGCACACCTTGACAGTTGGTTTATGTGTTGGTAACAACTTATATGTATGTTGATCGTGCTTGTGTTTGGTTAATATATGAAGGATATCATTTGGTATCTTACTATGCATAGTTCTTGGTATGGATTTGGTATTTAGCTAGCATTAGCACCATGCTTTCTTCAACTGGTAATAATGTATAGCCATAAATGTCTAGCACTAGCTTACAGTTTTTGAGTACCCAGCGTCATCTATATTGTGTATTCTTTGTTAAAAGTGATCATTGGTTGTTTGAGATTTCCCTTTTATGAAATCTATTCCTTCTCTATCCATGTAATTGTGAACTTAACATTAACTGACAGTGGTTTTTTTGTTTCGCCAAAAGGTGTCAAACAATGGTTGGGCTGAAAGTGAGTGCAAGGCATCTTGCTACGTACTGAAATACTATCCGTTATTACTTTTCCATTTTCAGGTGTAGATGCAATGTTCATATTGCTAAAGGCCTAGTAAAGGTAATAACTAAACCATAGAAACATAACTATTAAAATTAAGAAAGTTTCACATCATTATATTACATTTATCACATCCAATGTATACATTACATTAACTAACATACAAAATAAAATTACAACAGTTAAACCTACATTAAACACAGTGATTTGGTTCATCAACTATTACACAGATATTAGCTTCATCAGCCTAGAATTAACGACACGACAAACATAATACTACAACGATTCACCAACTATTACACATATATATTGTGAAAAGTCACTTCATCATTGAAAGGGAAATTTACTTCATCATCAATGCCGCAACAAATCCAACAAAAAGAGCCGATGAAATAATAAGAAAAATTCTCATCTTCGTCAACTTCTCTTCAAATGTTATAGCTTTGTCATCTCCAACATGTTAATAGCCTCCAATGGAGCAACTTTTTCCTTCAAATTGTCTCGTTCAATCTTAACGGCATCCAACGACAACTTTAATCTCTTATTACAATTAAAGCTTTATCCGGGTATACTTCGTCTTCCCATTCCCAATAGCCACATGAAATAAACTGTCGAACACAATCCAAACCACCTATTGTTAGTAACATTAAAGGAATACCAAAAAAAATTAAGTTTAATAAGAGTGAAAAAATCAGTACAATTAATAAGTGAAAAAAATATCAGCTTTATAAATGAAGTGACATACATTTGGCCTGGGACATTTATAAAATCTCATTCCCGGGTTAGAAGTAGTGCTGGAAGTAAAGTGGTTGGAAACCTGTGATGACCTTGGGTCATCACTTGTTTTAAAAGTAAATTCTGCATTCCGAGGCCTCAAAAATCTCTTTCAGCATCACCTCGATTTGCGTGAGCAATCCGGGCGCGTAGCCGGAAAGCCATTTAGTGAAAATCTGTGAGAAATGATGAATTTTGCATATAAAATGAGTTTAAGTTGACTTCGGTCAATATTTTGGGTAAACGGACCCGGACCCGTGATTTGACGGTCCCGAAGGGTCCGTAGGAAAATATGGGACTTGGGCGTATACCCGAAATCGAATTCCGAGATCCCAAGCCCGAGAAATAAAATTTAAAGAAAATTATTTTCTAAAATTATTTTTGAGTTTTGGAAATGAAATGAGTTTAAAACTCGATGGTATCGGGCCCGTATTTTGGTTCCGGCGCCCGGTACAGGTCTTATATGTGATTTGAGTCGAATCTGTGAAATTTGGTAAGAAACGGATTTGAGATGGCGTGAATCGGATCGTTTTGAGAAAAATTGGAAAATTTGAAGTTCTTAAGAAATTTCATGATTTTGATGCTAAATTCATAGTTGTTGATGTTATTTTAGTGATTTGAATGCACGAGCGAGTTCGTATGATGTTTTTAGGTTGGTGTGCATATTTGGTTTGGAGCCCTGAGGACTCGGGTGAGTTTTGGATACGCCACGGAGTGGATTTTGAACTTGGAGAATTGCAGGTTTTTAGCTGTTTCAGTGCAGGCCTGCAGGCTTCGCATTTGCGAAACCTAGCTCGCAAATGCGAGTTCGCAAATGCGAGTTCGTAAATGCGAGTTCGCAAATGCGAGTTCGCAAATGCGAAGGCCTTGTCACAAATGCGAACAATGGCCCAGCCCAGCTACCTCGCAAATGCGAGCAATTGATCGCAAATGCGATGCCTCCCCTTTTAGCCAGTCGTCGCAAATACGACACATTATTCGCAATTCCCAACTCGCAAATGCGAGAAGTAGTTTGCAATTCCCAACTTAACAGAAGTCTGGGTTCGCAACTGGTCGCAAATGCGACATCTGCAACCTGCAATTTTATAACTTAACCGAAAATCTTTCATTTTTCACACTCTTTCAAAACCAAAACACTCTTGGACGATTTTTCAAAGACAGCTCTTCTTCCAAATCGATTGTAAGTCAATTTTAACTCGTTTTCTTCAATCATTAACATCTTTTCATATGATTTCAACTCAAAATCAATGATTTTCATGGGGGAAATTGGGTGTTTTGGGTAGAACCTATGTTTTTCAAAAATTAAGGATTTGGACCTCGATTTGAGGTCCGATTTCAAAACAAATTATATATTTAGGTTCGTGGGGGAATGAGGGATCGGATTTTGGTTCGAAACTCGGGTTTTGACCATGTGGGCCAGGGGCAATTTTTGACTTTTTGGGTAAAAATTTAGAAAACTAATTTTTATGCATTAGAATTAATTCATTTAGCATTTATTGATGTAATTAAGTAACTTGTGGCTAGATACGAGCGAATTGATGGTGGAGTCAAGAGGTAAAGCGGTAGTAGAGGCTTGAATTGTGTTCGTGGCATCGAGGTAAGTGTTTGAGCTAACCTTAGCTTGAGGGATTAGGAGTTGAGTCCAATTTGCTACATGTTATTTGTTGAGTACAACGTATAGGCATGGTGACGAGTATCTATACGTTAGTGTCAAGAATGACCGTGTGTCTTAAATTGAAATTGTTGTGTTCTTGATAGATCTTACGAATGCCTAAGTTGTTGATTCTCTGAGTTGAGTAAGGATTATGATTATCCTCGTGGAAATTACTTATGATTGAGTATTGGTGCTAGTTGAGGTAGTTAGATGTTGGAACAAGTTTGGTTATAGCTAATTTTCCCTTGCCGAGACGTATTTACTTGTACTGTCGATTCCCTTGCCGGGATAATGTTGTTTCCTTATTGATCCCTTGTCGGGACTCTTGTTGTGATTGGTGTTGAACTGTATATGTGGATCGGGTTGCGCGCCACAATAATATTATATTTGGACCGGGTTGCACGGCGCAACAATATTATATTTAGACCGGGTTGCACACCGCAACAATAATATAATTGGATCGGGTTGCACGCCGCAACAGTAATAAATGATATGGATAGGATTGCACGCCGCAACAGAGTTATTATGTTTTGGGATCGGGTTGCACGCCACAACAATTGATAATACAAAGTGTTTATAGATTGGTTACATGTTCCTTATTGTTTTGCTGTAAAATCTAAATTGTTATTATGTTTTTCTCTTAATTTACTGTTGGTACTGATATCCCCCCACAACATGTACCCCCTTCCCATCTTTACTTGTTATTCCTATTTTATTTTTCCGCTGCATATTATATAACTGCACAGGTTTATTTGGTGGTCTGGTCCTAGCCTCATCACTACTTCGCCGGGGTTAGGCCAGGCATTTACCAGCATATGGGGTCGGCTATGTTGATACTACACTCTGCACTATGTGCAGATCTCGGAGCGGTAGCTTTTGGACAGTAGCATTGGGTGGCTGCTTTCAGTCCAGTTAAAGATCCCGAGGTAGTCCTGCAGGCGTCCGCAGACCCGGTGTTCTCTTCTATCTTTATGTGTATTCTGTTTTCATTTGCTTCCGAGACAGATTTTACTTTCTTTTCAGACACTTGTATGTAGTATTCATAGACAGTCCGTGATATTATGACACCAGATTCCGGGTAGAGATGTATATTGGCATTGTCGTACTATTTGTGGTTAATTTATCAGATTAAGTATTCCGCTTGTATCTAATTATCGTTAATATTTCACTGTTATTTCATTGTTAACTTAAATTGTTAAAAGGGCTAAATAAAAGGGTTAGTGATTCTATATTACGCGGCTTGCCTAGCTTTCACGAGTAGGCGCCATCACGACTCCCGAGGGTGGAAAATCCGGGTCGTGACAAGTTGGTATCAGAGCTCTAGGTTACATAGGTCTTACAATTTACGGACAAGCTTAGTAGAGTCTGAAGGATCGGTACAGAGAAGTCTGTATTTATCCCCGAGAGACTACAGAGTTAGGAAAAACTTCACATTTTTTATTTCCTGTCGTGCGGTTTGGTTTCTCAATGCTAATTGAATTTCTATTCTGTTCTTTCGCAGATGGCGAGAACATGCGCTTCCTCATCCACCGATCAGCAGCCCGAGCCCCCAGCAGCAGCTCCCACTAGGGGCAGAGGGTGAGGCCGAGGCCGTGCTAGAGGCCGGGGTAGGGGCAGAGCTCAACTTAGAGCAGCAGCACCAGCGGCGGAGCCTCAGGTTGACTTTAATGATGAGGTTCCGACCCAGACAGTTCCGGTGGGCCCAGCTCAGGTCCTAGAGGAGTTTATTGCTACCCAATACTCCAGGATGCTCTGGTCCGTCTAGTGGGCCTTATCGAGAGTGTCACCCAGGCAGGCTTGTTTCCTGTAGCACCAGACATCTCTCAGGCTGGAGGAGGAGCCTAGACTCCAAATACTCACACTTCGGAGCAGATGGCTCCCCAGTTCCAGACTCCAGCAGCTCAGCCAGTTGGAGTAGTTCAGCCGGGTGTGGTAGCTCAGACTGGTGGGGGAGCAGCTATGTCTGCCGATGCTTTATGGAGATTGGACAGGTTCACTAAGCTCTTCCCTACTACTTTCAGCGGTGCATCTTCTGAGGATCCCCAGGATTTTCTAGACATTTGTCATGAGGTTCTCAGGAACATGGGGATAGTGGATACCAATGGGGTCGATTTTGTTACCTTTCTCTTGTCTGGATCTGCCAAGACTTGGCAGAGAGATTATTGCTTGGCTAGACCAGCCGAATCACCAACTTTGACTTGGGAGTAGTTTACCCAGCTATTTCTGGAGAAATTT